AAGCCTTTTTCCAAAAAGGAAAATTCTAGTCCGGTACTCAAGTTGATATGGATTCAACCTCAAAGTTCAAGAAAACGTACCTTGGAAGACTTCACAAGCCTTTGAGAGTAAGGGTGTATCGCGAGATAGGTAATAAAATTGAGAGCAAGAAGCAAAGAAAAAGGACAATACGAGCAAAGAAACTAAATAAGATTTGAAAGAAAAAAGAAACCAAAGAAGGAAGTATGGCAGAAAGATATGCAAGACCAATATCAACAGATAGAGACAAATAGAATGTAAGAGGGGTTCAAGTATACCACAACAAAATAGGAATCTATCAAGAACTCCTTCCAACCTTATACTTTTCCCCTTCCTTGTCCCTCCAAAATTCTCCTACTAGCCAAATTCTTTCCCCAACCTTATTCTTCTTCTTTATAGCTTTCTCTTTTTTTGCTTTTTTTTTTTCAACTTTCTTGATTTTTTAAAACTTTTTTTGATAGGTAACCTCCAAATAACTACTGTAAATAACAAAAAAAATTTCGGACCAAGAGGAACCACACAACCCCTTCAAAAGAGAATCAAGAATTTCAAGAATCGCCCAGAAAAACAGAAACAATGCTCTGACTTTGAAGATCAATAACTCACTAACCAGAAGGAATTAGACAGTGTATAATATATCAAAAGAACTCCCCAGAAGAGATCTAAAACATATCAAAATTTCAGATAAAACTAACCGGTGGATCTCAAGATATAGGTAATTCTTTGAAACTGGTCACAGCTCGCGGAAATCTGGACAGGGTGTGATTGAGATGCGATTGCACGTAAATGCGCTTTGGATATAGGTAAGAGTGAGATGGGGTTGTTTTCTTGACAGAATATGTGGTAATATGGTGCTTAGGAGGTGTGAGGTCTCGTTGATATTGGACGGGAAAAAGGGAAAACACTTTCGGGATTGTTTTTCAAGAAACTGGAGAACATGTATCAAGATTCAAGAACACAATCAAGAATGCAAAAGAAAATTTTTTGGGGTTTTTTTTTAATGAATAAGACACGAAAAAAGTAGTATGTAAGATAAAAACGATAAACCTAGGGAACCAAAGAAACCAAATTTCAAATGATAATGAGACAAACCTAGGCTCTGAATACCAAATTGATATGAACCTAGTCCAAGATTCAAATAAGATGAGTATTGTCCCAAGAATGCTCTCAATGCAAAGATAGAGATGAATCAAAATACCTTAAACCTCACGAGAAACCCATTGTCTTGAATCCTCAAAGACTTGGAAGAATCCCATTGTAGCTTCAAGTACCTCGATGATGCAATCTTCAATCAACTAGAGTCGGATCTAGTTTCCTTCGATTCAAGAACGAGTCCACGAACCTAAATCTAAAGGTTGAAGAAAGGAAGATTGATTCGAGTCCACGAATCAATTTGCTAGTCGAGTCCATGACTAGCCACTAATTGAGTCCACAATTAGCTATAAGGTTTCTTACACAAGTGTAAAGAAAAACTTACGAATTTTATTGAATTAAAGCTTTTTCCAAAACTGATATTGATGTGCCCTATATATAGGTATAGGGGCAGCATCCTAAATACAATAGGAAAAAGAGTCCTAAACCTAATCTAGAAAACAAGTAAATAGAGTCCTATTTAGAAAGGGGTTTAAGGAATCCTTTCTAAATACTAACTAGTGTTTTCTTTTTAAAATATTGATGACCACAAATAATAAAGCTGATTTGGGCCTTGGATCTTGTGATTGGCCCAATTTGTACTCTTAATGGATCTTCATTATGTTGGGCCGCATCATTTGGACTTGGGCCTTGTGATTGGCCCAATTGGTACTCTTGATGGATCTTCATTATGTTGGGCCGCATCAACTATCAACAAGTACCTAGGAACCCCAGAAGCAGAACAAAACATGGAGATAAATAGTGAGGAAATTGCACAAGAACTCACAGCTGGAAATGTCATCTTTGAAAGGAACAAGATCAAGGCAGCATCTCTTACAAGCAAATATGCAGTCCTCCAGAAAATAGCACTTGCCAACTGGATGCCCTCTCTACATGAATCTACTGTGAAATGGACCCTAGCTGAGTTACTGTACAAGATAGGGAAAGGGATTCAATCAAATATGGGTAACATTATTCACTCTCAAATCATAAACCTAGCAGAGGACACCAAATCCAACACCTCCCTGATTTTTCCAAACCTTATCTTTGCCATCCTGATAGAACAAGGTCTCAAAACACATGGTCCAAAAATCAGTGTCAAGAACATCAACACCACTATCAAGCTGAGAAAGGGGAACCATCAAAATGATCTAAAAACCACAGCTCCAAAGGAAAATCCACTAGCCTCCAAGACATTGATCAAATATTTTGAAAGAAGACTAACAGAGTTAGAAATCTCAGAAAAAGAACTCCTAAGAAAACATATGAACATCAAGGAAGAAAAAGCAGAGATATCAGAATGGCTAACAGTTCTAAAAGAGCATGATGAAGAAAAACAAGAAGAAGAACAAGGATCAGAAGAAGGAAGTCAGGAACACTCTCAAGACAAGGATGTTGAAACTTCTGTTTCAACATCAGAAAACAGACCTTAAACCTTTTAGCAAAAAAGGGGGAGACAATGTGGAAGCAATGGCATCAGCAGACTGAACAGTCCCCTTATTTTTGTGAACAGTCCCCTTATTTTTGGTCTTTTATTTTTGTTTCTCCTTGGTTCAGGCAAATCTGTTACTATGAAACACAAGGAAGTTTTTTTTGTAAAGCAGGCAGGCAGACAGCAGCTGAAACAGAACAAGTCCTTTTATCTCTATTTCTGTTTGGTTCAGACAAATGACACTATGAAAAAAAAAAAAAAAAAAAAAAAAAAAAGGCAAACTTCTTTTGTGAAAGCCTAGCATATTATTTATGCAACCCCAATCTTTGGCATCAACTCAAATCATTTCCCTGAAGACAAGAATCCAAAACCATCAACCAAAATAACCCCACAAATTAAGGGGGAGAAAAATTGCTGAGACAACCCATGAGAATAATCAAAATTAAAGAAGAGATCCACAAATTAAGGGGGAGACAAATCACACGTGGCAACTCTTGAGAAGATTCCAGATGGATCAATGTTATCAAAATTGAAGAAGAGATCCACAAATTAAGGGGGAGACAAATCACATGTGGCAACTCTTGAGAAGATTCCAGATGGATCAATGTTTTTGCTAAAATTTGACAAAGGGGGAGATTGTTGACAAGTTTGTCAAATTCTAGACAAAAGGGGATCATCAAGTCAAACAAGGATTAGGAATTCAATTCCTAATCTAAATAGGATTAGCAACCCTATTCCCATTCAATCAATAACTCTCGGCTTATAAAAGAAGATGCATCACAATTCCTCTTCTTACGCTTTCAGCACCTAATCGTGAGCACGAGAGTAATTGAGAGAGATACCCAAATCCCCTTGAAAAGTAGTACAAGTGTTTAGGTCTCAATAGCTTGATAGGAAATCATATTGTGTAATCCCCGTTCCCTAAACCAAGTGTACTTCAAATATTGAGCTTTTAGTGGATTTAGGCAAATTCTCAATTTGAGAAGTGCCTCGCAGATTAGGGCTGCTTGCCCGAAACTGCGTTATAAATATTTGTGTCACTACGTCTGTTTCAACGTTACCGAATTCAAACATCTATATTAATTTCAATATCTTCACCAGTTACATATCCAGGACCCTTGACACAAATAGACGCGTCACAAGTTCCATATAGATTACTTCTCAATACAATTTAAACTTTCAAATTCATTAAAATTTCATGTATTGATTCTTGAATACCCGCTATGGTAGAATATTCATGCAGGGCATTCTCAGATTTTACACATGTGATACATGTTCCTTCTATTTCCCCAAGCAAAGCTCTTTGCATCGCACTGCCTGTTGTTTCGGCTTGAGCTTTCATAAGTGGAGACAGAATAAAGCTGCCATAATAAAGACGTTTAATTTCTATTCTTGATTCAACATATTTTCACTGTAGTGTTCGAGTAGATACTATGACTTTCTCTCGAATCATAGCAATATTATTTGATTAGATTAGCAAATTCATGATTTTATTTCTCTTTCCCTTGAGATTTTTTCAATGTTCATTTCTACGAACGTCTTTTTTCAGAGGTCTACACCCATTGTGTGGCATACATCCCGTAAGAAAGTTAATAGTATACCACTTAGAAGAATATCTCGTAATGTTGCGTCCCTTCCAAGACCGGGACCCTTTATCACCACTTCTTGCTCGTAGCATACCCAGATCAACTATTGTACGTATAGCATTTGATGCCACGGTTTCAGCAGCAAAAGGTGTTTCTCTTCTCATTCCCTTGAATCCAGATGTACTGGCGAAAGCCCAAGAAACTACACGACCACCCGGTACATCTGTAACAGTGACAATGGTATTATTGAAACTAGCCTAGCTTGAACATGAATAACTCCCTTTGGTATTCTACGTGCACTCTTATGGTAACCAAATACGTCTATTCCTACAAGAACTTCTTCTCGATATAGCTTTTGCCATATTTTACATTTCGTAAATATGAGTTAGCGATATATGGATATATCCATTTCACAATTATTTATTTTTACATTGGTTCAGTTGGCAAATCTGATTATCCTTGTCGTTGTTTATGTCTCGGGTCGGAACAAATTACTATAATTCATCATCTTATCATTACAAGAAAAATGCACAAAGACAACCTCACGTATTTGTAGTCACCTATATATGTACTTCCACCCAGCACGGGGAACGGTGAATGTGGAACCTATTAAGCATATGAGTGGTTGATATTTTATATTTACTTAATTGTTCTAAATAGGCTCCTGTAGACTAGGCCAGTAGCTCTAACTTCCCTCTATTTCTCCTCTCCTGTACTCTATTTAAACTCTGCTCATTTATGTTGATCAACACACTCTTTCGCAACCTTACTATCAAGAGCTATAATCTCGTTAGAGTTTTTTTTTTCCTTCCCTATTGCTATCTCCTTATCAAATGGCCAGTACACCTGCGAACACCACTGAGGTTATCCAACTCACAGTCCCATCACATTTTCCTATCAAACTCACCCCTTCGAACTTTTCTGTCTGGAGGCGCCAGGTCCAATCCACATTGATTGGCTTCAATCTTCTCGGCTTCATTGACGGTTCTGTCAAAGAACCAGCCGCATTTAATGATTCTGCTCACACGATCGCGAACTCGGCTCATCTTGTCTGGTATCGCCAAGACCAGATAATCATCAACGCTCTTTTGGTGAGCTGTTGTGACACAATCCAGCCCCTCATCATATCCACAGCTAAAATTGCCAATGATGCCTGGCAACGACTTCTCGTCAGTTATGCTAGTGCCACTCGAGGACGAATCATTTCCCTCAAGGCCAAGCTCAGGAAAAACCCGAGAGGCGCTCGGTCCGTTACCGCCTATCTCAATGATATGCGTTCCATAGCTGATGAACTTGCTTTGGCTCAGTGTCCGGTCTCCGATGAAGACATTGTTGTCTATGTTTTGACTCAATTAGGAGATGAGTACAAATCTATCATGTCAGTTGTCCGCATTCGTGAAACTCCAATTTCCTTGGGAGAATTAGCAGACATTCTCACTGATCATGAACGCCAACTAAAGGAGGCCGATGATGCTCACCAGTCCTTAATGACCAGTGCTAATATTACTCAACGTGGCTCTTTTGGTTCTCGTAATCAACAGCCTGCGTCGATCCGAAGGTTCCGTAATAATAATAACAACGGTACCGCCAATAACAGACCAAATTCACCGCAAGGAAGAACCAATCGAATGGGTGTTGTTTGCAAATTTTGTAATTTTGCTGGTAATGAAACGCGAGTTTGCCGGAAGTTAGCCCGATTTTTGAAAGAACATAATGTTTTTCCCATGCAGGCCGCTTCGTCATATCCGTCTCCTACGGCCAATTCCACCATCGGCTCGACCTCATCATGGCTGTTTGACACGGGCGCTTCTCACCACGCCACTCCAAGTGTGAACCCTTTGCAGACCTTTTCAGAGTACACTGGTCCTAATGAAGTTCGCCTGGGCAACGATAATTCTCTACAAATTTCCCATATAGGTCAGTCTACCATTCCCACTTTCGCTTCCGTCCTTACTCTGCGCAATGTCTTGTGTGTTCCAAAGTTACAAAATAATCTAGTGTCCATCTCTCAGCTGTTTAAAACTAATAAAGTATCTGTTGAACTTTTTGATTCCCACTTTCTTGTGAAGGAACTTCAAACGGGGACCACACAGTTACGGAGGACGAACATTAACGGTGTCTACTATGGACCTTTGTCTTATGAGCCTACAATAAACACTGTGCGTCTATCTCATGCGTTTTAGTGGCACCATCGGCTCGGTCATCCTTCAAACAATGTGTTACAACTTGTGTCGCAACGCTGCAATATTCCAGTTACTGCTTCCTCATTGTGTCAACTTCACTGTTCGTCTTGCAGTGTCCACAAAAGTCACAAATTGCCTTTCTCACAAAGTACTCTTGTTAGTACCAAACCATTACACTTGATTTACACTGATGTATGGGGAACTTTTGACAAATCTATTGATGAATATCGCTATTATGTTATTTTAATTTTATTGATCACTTCTCAAAATACATTTGGTTGTATCCCTTAAAATACAAGTCGGATGTGTTTTCGGTTTTCTCTCAGTTCAAACGACTGGTTGAGAAGTTTTTTGAACTTCCAATAGTGTCCGTTTACTTAGGCAACGGGGGTGAGTTTATTAAATTGATTCCTTTGTTTAATGCTCATGGTATATCTCATTTCACTACTGATGCAGCCCAACATAATGAAGATCCATTAAGATTACAAATTGGGCCAATCACAAGATCCGAGGCCCAAATCAGCTTTATTATTTGTGGTCATCATTTATTTTAAATTGTTTAGAATTAAAGAGAAAACACTAGTTGTATTTAGAAAGGATTCCTTAAATCCTTTTCTAAATAAAACTCTATTTACTTGTTTTCTAGATTAGGTTTAGGACTCTTTTTCCCATTGTATTTAGATTACAATGCTGCCCTATACCTATAAATAGGGCACATCCATATCAGTTTTGAGGAGGCTTTAATTCAATAAAATTCTTAAGTTTTTCTTTACACTTGTGTAAGAAACCTTATGGCTAATTGTGGACTCAATTAGTGGCTAGTCGTGGACTCGACTAGCAAATTGATTCGTGGACTCGAATCAATCTTACTTTCTTCAACCTTAGATTTAGGTTCGTGGACTCGTTCTTGAATCGAAGGAAACTAGATCCGACTCTAGTTGATTGAAGATTGCAACATCAAGGTACTTGAAGCTACATGGGATTCTTCCAAGTCTTTGAGGATTCGAGACAAAGGGTTTCTCGTGAGGTTTAAGGTATTTTGATCCATCTCTATCTTTAGTTTTGAGAGCATTCTTGGGACAATATTCCATATTTATGTGAACCTTGGACTAGGTTCATATCAATTTGGTATCAGAGCCTAGGTTTGTTTCGTTATCATTGGAAATTTGGTTTCTTTGGTTCCCTAGGTTTATCTCGTTCTTATCTTACATACTACATTTATTCGTATCTTATTCATTAAAAAAACCCCCAAAAAAAATTTTCTTTTGCATTCTTGATTGTGTTCTTGAATCTTGATACATGTTCTCCAGTTTCTTGAAAAACAATCCCGAAAGTGTTTTCCCTTTTTCCCGTCCAATATCAACGAGACCTCACACCTCCTAAGCACCATATTACCACATATTCTGTCAAGAAAACAACCCCATCTTACCCTTACCTATATCCAAAGCGCATTTACGCGCAATCACGTCTCAATCACACCCTGTCCAGATTTCCGCGAGCTGTGACCAGTTTCAAAGAATTACCTATATCTCGAGATCCACTTGTTAGTTTTATCTGAAATTTGGATATGTTGTAGATCTCTTCTGGGGCGTTCTTTTGATATATTATAAACTGTCTAATGCCTTCTGGTTAGTGAGATATTGATCTTCGAAGTAAGAACATTGTTTCTGTTTTTCTGGGCGATTCTTGAAATTCTTGATTCTGTTTTGAAGGGGTTGTGTGGTTCCTCTTGGTCCGAAATTTTTGTTGTTATTTACAGTAGTTATTTGGAGGTTACCTATCAAAAAAAATTAAAAAAAATCAAGAAAGTTGAAAAAAAAAAAAGAGAGAGGAAGCAATAAAGAAGAAGAATAAGGTTGGGGAAAGAATTTGGCTGGTAGGAGAATTTTGGAGGGACAAGGAAGGGGAAAAGTATAAGGTTGGAAGGAGTTCTTGATAGATTCCTAATTGGTTGTGGTACACGTGAACCCCTTTTATAGTCTATTTGTCTTTATCTTTTGATATTGGTCTTGCATATCTTTCTGCCATACTTCCTTCTTTGGTTTCCTTTTTCTTTCAAATCTTATTTAGTTTCTTTGCTCGTATTGTCCTTTTTCTTTGCTTCTTGCTCTCAATTTTATTACCTACCTCGCGATACACCTTACTCTCAAAGGCTTGTGAAGTTTTCCAAGGTACGTTTTCTTGAACTTTGAGGTTGAATCCATATCAACTTGAGTTTCGGACTAGAATTTTCCTTTTTGGAAAAAGGCTTGTGAGAGTCTTGAGCGATACACGAGTGGAGTGTGTGTTTGTAAGAGTGTGTAGTGCACCCCCGAGCAATATAATCAACCTCTTACCTGTGAGCTGAGAATAGAGAGGGAGCGAGCCAACTTTTTGGTTTCAGTAACATGAATACTCACATATCTTCTTGTTTTTAGATTTTGTTTCTCATCTACAGATGGCTGAAGAGGTTCCAAACACACGTAAGAGATTAGAGCATAAAATAGATGCTCTAGCCTTTGCTATGGAAGGTTTAAGCACTCGAATGACTAATCTAGAGCAACACCCTAAGCGAGTGCAACTGCCACTCTATACTAGGGGAAACATTCATGGAAAGGGATGCATTATCGTTATCAATTCGGATCGTTGTATGAATTTAGCTAGTGCAGCCATGGTGGACTACCTTAAGTTACCTCTTATCAATCACCCCCAACCATACAATCTTATTGATTCTGGGGATGTGAGAGTGACTAAACAAGTTTTTATTTCTTTTTGTATTGGCAAGTATTATGATGAGGTTCTATGCGATATTGTGCCAATTGCGTACTGCACATGTTTCACTTGGAAGGTCATGGCAACATGATAGACATTTTTATTATAATGCACTCAACAACACATGCAATGTCACCTATAATAGATTTATACATGTGCTTAAGCCTCTACTTCCAAAACAAGTAGAAGAAATTCAATTGAGATCGAAGCAAGTTCTCAAACCAGCCTTGAAGAAAGAAGAAATCAAAGAGAGCAAACTGGAACCTCCACGTTTAGAATTGGAGTCACCACTCCAGTCCTCTAACTTAGATTGTAGCCAAACAAAGGAACCACTATCAGTGTTACAGTGGAAAGAACCAGCCAGAGCTATCAAAGTGCAGCCTCGCTTGCTAACAAAAAAAGATAATAAGCAAGAGAAAAGAAGGGGAGTAACTATTTACTCACTTTTATTTCAAAAGCATGCATTAAAATTCTCTAGATTTGTTTGCCATGTTTCTATTAATGACCTACTTGCCAGATGTACTAGAAATTTGTTTGCATCAATACATCCAAGATTCCTTAATTTTGATTTTACTAAAACTTTATTTGATCGAGATAAGGAATCACTTGGAAGTTATAAGGCACATTTGAAAACTTCTTATGGCAAATACCACTTGCACAAGGGGTTTTGGTTCAAAGTCAATGGGATTGACACTTTTTGCTTTGTTTTGGGCAATGATTTAATTGTTGATTCACATACGGGACATTTTGATTTTCTAAAGAGTAATGATCTTTTGCATGAATATTTTCATTGGCCAAAGAAGAAAAAAGATGTAGAATCTTATGTTCATAATTGTGCTACTTACCACCACAATACATCTAAAACATTACTTGATATTTCCATGGATTTTGTGTTTGGTTTAGCCTTAAGCTCTAGAAGGAAAGATGTTGTGCTTGTTGAAAATTCAAAAAAGATGGCTAAATTTAATATGTCTCGTTTTGCTGATCTATTACTATCCAGAATGTTTAAATTCCATGATGTGTCATTAGACTTAATTGCCTTACTTGTTGATTGTAGGATGATGATTGGAGCGACTCGTGTCAAGCACCCCAAGAAAAAGTTCCATGAGCATGATAAAACAGAAAGTGAGCTTGCTACTTTGTCTTTCATTGAAGATTTGGATTCGAGGACGAATCCTTTTCAAGAATGGGAGAATAATAGGAACCAGCACACATGGAATCCAATAAGGGTCTATAGTGGGCTCATCACAAGGCCAAAAAGTACATCCTTAAAGCATCATTGGTGGAAAAATCAAGGAATTCCAATAATAATTCCATTCGATAGAGGAAAGTATTATAGTGGCCCGTTTCAAGTGATGTCACGGATCGAAGACAATGTTTATAAGATTCGAGGTCGAATCATTTTTCAAGAAGGGGAGGATGATGCGGCCCAACATAATGAAGATCCATTAAGATTACAAATTGGGCCAATCACAAGATCCGAGGCCCAAATCAGCTTTATTATTTGTGGTCATCATTTATTTTAAATTGTTTAGAATTAAAGAGAAAACACTAGTTGTATTTAGAAAGGATTCCTTAAATCCTTTTCTAAATAAAACTCTATTTACTTGTTTTCTAGATTAGGTTTAGGACTCTTTTTCCCATTGTATTTAGATTACAATGCTGCCCTATACCTATAAATAGGGCACGTCCATATCAGTTTTGAGGAGGCTTTAATTCAATAAAATTCTTAAGTTTTTCTTTACACTTGTGTAAGAAACCTTATGGCTAATTGTGGACTCAATTAGTGGCTAGTCGTGGACTCGACTAGCAAATTGATTCGTGGACTCGAATCAATCTTACTTTCTTCAACCTTAGATTTAGGTTCGTGGACTCGTTCTTGAATCGAAGGAAACTAGATCCGACTCTAGTTGATTGAAGATTGCAACATCAAGGTACTTGAAGCTACATGGGATTCTTCCAAGTCTTTGAGGATTCGAGACAAAGGGTTTCTCGTGAGGTTTAAGGTATTTTGATCCATCTCTATCTTTAGTTTTGAGAGCATTCTTGGGACAATATTCCATATTTATGTGAACCTTGGACTAGGTTCATATCAACTACTCCACCTCACACACCTGAGCATAATGGAATAGCTGAACGACGACATCGACATATTGTCGAAACATGCTTGTCGCTTCTGCACTCTGCCTCCCTACCATCCACATTTTTGTCGTATGCCTTCCTCACAGCCGTTTACCTCATTAATCGGC